AGCCGAGTATCTCAGTTTTAAAAGTTTGGTTCACAGAGTAAGATGTTAAATAGAATTTTGCAAACTATGTATGCTCCAGGGTCACTATTTTGGACAAACTCAGTGATCTTTTCCCTGCCGTTTTTCATTGTCCTGACTTTTCTGCTGCGTTTATTATTTAGTACTGTTTCATTTTCTTGAAACATTCCCTTTTGCCCTGTAATGTTTTTCTTCCTGGTAATTCTATTTGTTTTAGCTGTCTTCTAATGCCTCTTGTAACTGTGGCTATATCTCAGAAATTTAGTTTTGGCCTTAATTTAAGGTTTATACCCACCCTTCAAAGAGATTTTTCTGTTTTTTTCTCTATTATTTCTGTGTAGATTACTCCCAGACTACTATATCCAGCCCCTATTACCATCTTGAATTCTTTTTTTTGTTTTGTTTTGAGATGGAGTTTTATTCTTGTTGCCTAGGCTGGAGGGCAATGGTTCAATCTCAGCTCACTGTAGCCTCCGCCTCCCAGGTTCAAGCAATTCTTCTCCCTCAGCCTCCCAAGTAGCTGCATTACAGGCATGTGCCACTATGCCTGGATAATTTTGGTATTTTTAGTAGAGAGAGTTTCGTCATGTTGGCCAGGCTGGTCTTGAACTCCTGACCTCAGGTGTTCCACCCACCTCAGCCTCCCAAAGTGTTGGGATTACAGGCGTGAGCCACTCCTCCCAGTTTACCATCTTGAATCTTAAACCTTGAATCTTGGCTGTAGGACATTTTCATTTGTGATACCTAGAGATACGTTTGAAAAACCATACCATTTTGAAAGCTAAACTTTTGCTAGAATACTCAATGTGAATTATGTGAATTAAAATTTTCTACTTTGGGCTGGCTGTGGTGGTACATACTTGTAATTCTAGCACTTTGGGAGGCTGAGGTGGATGAATCAGTTGAGCCCAGGAATTTGAGACCAGCCTGGGCAACTTAGCAAGACCCTATCTCTACGAAAAAATGCAAAAGAAGTTAGCCACGCATAGTGGCACACACCTGTGGTCCCAGCTACTCAGGAGGCTGAGGTGGGAGCATGGCTTGAGGCTGGGAGGCAGAAGTTGTAGTGAGCTGAGGTCATGCCACTGTACTCTTGCCTGGATGACAGAGTGAGATCCTTTCTCAAAGAAAAAAGAAAAGTCTACTTTGTGTCTGTATTTGATTTGTGCAGATGCTTCCAAACCCATCTGTGGGAAGAACTTTAAAATCACCACCTTAGGTTTTCCTGCTGTATTAGTCCATTTTCATGCTGCTGATAAAGATGTCCCCAAGACTGGGCAATTTGCAAAAGAAAGAGTTTAATTAGACCTACAGTTCCACATGGCTGGGGAGGCCTCACCATCACGGCAGAGGCAAGTCACATCTTACCTGGATGGCAGCAAGCAGAGAGAGCTTGTGCAGATAAACTCTCCCTTAATGATAACCATCAGATCTTGTGAGACTTGGTATCACAAGAACAGCACAGGAAAGACCTGCCCCCATGATTTGATTACCACCCCCTTGGTCCCTCCCACAGTATGTGGGAATTCAAATTAGATCTGGGTGGGTACACAGCCAAACCATATTGCCTGCAGGACTGAGGCCCTCACCATGCTAAGTGTGAGCACCCTGTAGTCTCTGGGCAGCAGGCGCCACAACAGGCAGTTTGCTCCTCTTGCTTTGCCTCCTGTGTTGGTCACTTTGTCAGGCCTGGTCTCGGATTTTTCTACCTCGTGAACTCTGCCACCAAAGCCACACGCCCCACCTGTCGCTCCCTACCAGAGCTGCTTCCTTTCAAAATGCCAGTTCCACAATTGGCTTTTAGGCCCTTAACCCTCACAAACCGACTTACATTTTTATTCTTTAGCTGTCTCTCAAGAGGAGCTCAAGAAGATGGTAACTGATGAAGCACACTCAGAAGTTCCTGGGTTTTGTGCTGGAAACAATACTCAAGTCCCAGCCTTCGAGAAGCTAACAGGAAATGTAATCAAGTAAATTGTCAGTGATTATGTAGTGTGATCCATGTGGTGATGGGAGATGATAGAGTTCGCTTTTGTTTCCTCAGTGTTATTAGGACCAAATAAGATACATATGAGGCAGCCTCTTTGAAGCATGCATTACTCTAGGAAGCTTGGTTGCTGAGGGTCAGCCTGTCTGGCTACTTCTCTGCAAGCAGGAGAGGGAGGATTCTCTGAGCAAGAGAGGGAGCATTTGCTGTGGTCTGCTTATTGGTTTCGCCATCTGTGCTTCTGCATGGTCCATAGTTCTCTACCACATATGGCAGTAAAAGACGCTTGGTAGGAATGGGGGGGTTCAGCTTAGCTCCTCAGTAGCATAGTAGGAAAGGGCGCACTGAACATCTGGGTGGAATACAGGTTTAGTTGCTATGTTAACTTTTAATTATATGGACAGTTGTTAATAGCAAAATAGTTCTCCTTGAGGCTGGAATCTTTTTTTTTTTTTTTTTTTTTTTTAAAGAGACGAAGTCTTCCTCTGTTGCCTGGGCTAGAGTGCAGTGGCATGATCACGGCTGACTGTAGCCTCAACCTCAGGGGCTCCCACTTCAGTCTCTTCAGTAGCTGAGACTGGTACTATAGTCACATGCCACCACACCCAGCTATTTCCTTTTTCAAATTTTTTGTAGAGGCAGGATCTCCCTATGTTGCCCAGGTTTGTCATGAACTCCTGGGTCCAAGTGATCCTCCTACTTCACCCTCCCAAAGTGCTGGATTACAGATGTGAGCCACTGTGCCCAGGCCTGTGTAGAAATCTTAAATGCAAAAGAGAAGTCTGTGAAAACTGATAACATACTATGCTATAAGAAAGCCTAAGCCAGGCATGGTGGCTCATGCTTGTAATCCCAGCACTTTGGGAGGCTGAGGCAGGCAGATCACTTGAGCCCAGGATTTCAGTGCCAGCTTTTGCAACATGGTGGAACCCAGTCTCTACAAGAAATACAAAAATTTGCTGGGCATGATGACACTTCCCTGTAGTCTCAACTACTTCAGAGGGTGAGGTGTAATCATTTTTTAAAGTTCTTCTTAAGGTAAATTTAGAATTCCAAGTTGTATGTAAGATTATGGTGGAAATTTGGTGCAGTCTTGGCTCACTGTAGCCTCTACCTCCTGGGCTGAACTGATTCTCCAACCTCAGCCTCCCAGTTAGCTGGGACTACTGATGCAGATCACCACGGCTGGCTTTTTTTTTTTTTAATTGTAGAGTCAGGGTTTCACTATATTGACCAGGCTGACATCAAACTCTTGGGCTCAAGTGATCCTCCTGCCTTGGCCTTCCTAAGTGCTGGGAATTAAAGGTGTGAGCTACTGTACCCAGCCTAGATTTCTTACATATCATTTATGAATATTCCAATATACAACGGTTTGTTCATAATAAGAAGGCCGGGTGCAGTGGCTCACATCTGTAATCCCAGCACTTTGGGAGGCCAAGCCAGGTAGATCACCTGAGGTTAAGAGTTCAAGACTAGCCTGGCCAACATAGTGAAACCCCATCTGTACCAAAAATACAAAAACTAGCTGGGTGTGTTAGCGCACACCTGTAATCCCAGCTACCGGAGAGGCAGAGGCTGGAGAATTGCTGGAACCTAGGAGGCGGAGGTTGCAGTGAGCCAAGATCAGGCCACTGTACTCCACTGTACTCCACTGTACTCCACTGTACTCCACTGTACTCCACTGTACTCCACTGTACTCTGGGCAACAGAGCAAGACTTTATGTCAAAATAATAAGAAAATTAAGTAATTGAATTCTTATATAGACCATCATTTGGTTGGGGCTAATAATCTGCATTTTAACATTGTGTTTCCAGTCAGGTAGTTCAGCCATAAATTAATTACAAGCAAGAGTCAAATGCCACTGTTGAGTGGATTTTGAAAGGCTCGAAAAGCAAGGCAACTTCCACAGTGTCATTTGATTTAACTTGCACTGTCCTCAGTGAGTTCTTTGAACCAATATAGAAGGAGGGTTGGAGTCTTTAAAGTTCAGAGTAGTCGACTTTGATATTTAATGCTAGGAAAATGATTTGGAATGCAGCTGGACATAGTTTTAAGAGATAATACAAGTAGCAAAGAATAACTGAAGAGGCAGTTTGGGAACGTGTAAGGGCGTTTTCAGTTGGATGAAGGAAGCTGTTGGCATTTAGGGCCTGAGAGCCACGGGCTGCCTCAATAATATGTGAAACCACAAAATCCAGAATTGTTCCCCCCATAACATCAGTAACTTGAGAAGCCCCTCATTAGAGAGTGCTTTCTCCTGCATGTCAGAGGAGTCCAGCTTAGTGGCTTGGCCAGGTGGAGGCTTGTTTTCCTCACATCCTGAGCGGCACAGAGAGAGAGAGAGGCTGTGCTTGGCTGTGAGGGACGCCGTATGCCCAGAGTAGAGTCCTAGGTAGTTCTGTCTTCTGTGCCATCCTGAGGGTGGGCTTTCATCTGCTTCCAGATGGCTGCTCCACCTCCACAGGAGGGCGCGGCAAGGCAGAAGTGGCCCCTGGATAGGAAAGCAAAACTTACAAATCATCAACAGTGAGCAGCCTACATCTCATTGGCAACAGCTGTGTTACCTGGTAACCTTTCTTTTCAAAGGAGACTAAGAAAAATAGTTTTAAAGTGGACACATTTCCCTCCCCATCAAATTAGGGTTTTATACTAGGAAGAGGGGAAGAATGGATATGGTGTAATCAACTACCAGAAATGGTGTGTACTCCAGGAATCAGATTTTGGAAAGGCCCTACGTCTGTGAAATCTCGCAAGTTTAAATGGGAGTGCGTGTGAACCTGGCCGGAGGAGTGTCCTCTAGCTCCTTCCAGCCTCAGCAGTGGGCTTTCATTTCCTTAGCTATTGCATTTGCTTATATGGATCAGTTTAGCAAGTGAATTTAAATTTTCTTTCACATTCCAGTAAATGTCTTGTTAAACTTTTTTGCAGACTTTGCATTTTGTAGCCTACTCTTGAGCTGCTGCATTTTGACTGAGATTTTAAAATTTTACACAGGTGATATTCTTGAATTTCATGGCCCAGAAGGGACAGGAAAAACAGAAATGCTTTATCACTTAACAGCACGATGTATACTTCCCAAATCAGAAGGAGGCCTGGAAGTAGAGGTCGTATTTGTTGATACAGATTACCACTTTGATATGCTCCGTCTTGTTACAATCCTCGAGCACAGACTATCCCAGAGCTCTGAAGAAAGGATCAAGTGCTGCCTGGGAAGACTGTTTCTGGTGTACTGCAGTAGCAGCACCCACTTACTTCTCACGCTTTACTCACTAGAAAATATGTTCTGTAGTCGCCCGTCTCTTTGCCTTTTGATTTTGGATAGCTTGTCAGCTTTTTACTGGATTGACCGCGCCAATGGAGGAGAAAGTGTTAACTTACAGGAGTCTACTCTGAAGAAATGTTCTCAGTTCTTAGAGAAACTTGTAAATGACTATCGCCTGGTTCTTTTTGCAACCACTCAAACTCTAATGCAGAAAGCCTCAAACTCGGTGGAAGAACCTTCTCATGCCTCCCAACGCCTGTGTGACGTGGACATAGACTACAGACCCTATCTCTGTAAAGCATGGCAGCAAGTGGTAAAGCACAGGATATTTTTCTCCAAACAAGATGATTCAAAAAGCAGAAACCAATTTTCATTAGTTTCACGCTGTTTAAAAAGTAAGAGTTTAAAGAAACATTTTTTTATTATTGGAGAAAGTGGGGTTGAATTTTGTTGATATATATCATAAAGTAGTCTTTTGCAGGGTATTATGCAAGTCTTAAAGTTTTTCTTTTTTAAGACAACATCTCGCTCTATATTCCAGGCTGGAGTATAGTGGCACAATCATGGCTCACTGCAGCCTTGAACTCCTGGCCTCAAGGGATCCTCCTATGTGTGCCTCCCAGAGTGCAGGGATTACAGGCGTGTGCCACTGCACCCGGCCAAAAGTTTTCTCTTTTTTTTTGAGACAGAGTCTCACTCTGTCACTCAGGCAGGAGTGCCGTGGCGCGATCTTGGCTCACTGCAACCGCTGCCTGCTGGGTTCAAGTGATTTTCCTGCCTTAGTCTCCCAAGTAGCTGAGATTACAGGCGCCCACCACCATGCCCGGCTGACTTTTGTATTTTTAATGGCGACTGGGTTTCACTATGTTGGCCAGGCTGGTCTCGAACTCCTGACCTCAAGTGATCCACCTGCCATGGCCTGCCAAAGTGCTGGGATTATAGGCGTGAGCCTCCGCGCCGGCCCTAAAGTTTTAAACTCTAGGGTAATTAACAGTATTTCTTTACAGAATGGATTTGTTAAAACTAGTACAATAAAACTAAAGACTATTCTGTTTCTAGGCTGTTGAATCAAAGTGGTATTAACAATTAAACTTTGTGTTAAGCTTGCTTTAAAAGCAAATAAATAATGTATACATATACTACATATATCTGCCTAAATAAGCTGGACATTTACAACTTGGTGTCACATTTTTGGAATTTCGTTAAGTACTTTTTTTTGTTTAAGAAACTTTACAGGCCAGGTGCAGTGGCACACGCCTATCATCCCAGCACTTTTGGAGGCCAAGGCGGGCAGATCATGAGGTCGAGAGATGGAGACCATCCTGGCCAACACAGAGAAACCCTGTCTCTACTAAAATATAAAAATTAGCTGGGCATGGTGGCACGTGTCCAGTCCCAGCTACTTGGGAGGCTGAGGCTGAGGAGAATTGCTTGATCCCAGGAGGCAGAGGTTTCAGTGAGCCGAGATCGAGCCACTGCACTCCAGCCTGGCGCCTGGCGACAAAGGGATACTATGTCTCAAAAAAAAAAGAAAAGAAAAGAAACTTTACATAAATGCATTTCTTTCTTCTTCTTCTTTTTTTTTGAGACGGAGTCTTACTCCGTTGCCCAGGCTGGAGTGCAGTCTAAGTAGCATGACACATGCCTCTAGTCCCAGCTACTGTTAGCTACTATTAGCTGGGACTAGAGGCATGTGTCACAACACCCAGCTAAGTTTTGTATCTGGTTTCACCATGTTGGCCAGGCTGGTCTTGAACTCCTGGCCTGAAGTGATCCACCTGCCTCAGCATCCCAAAGTTCTGGGATTACAGGTATGAGCCATCGTGCCTGGCATCTTTTCTTTTCTCTCCTTTTCTCTCTCACTTTTTTTTTTTTTTTAAAACAGGATCTCACTCTGTTTCCCAGGCTAGAGTGCAATGGTGCAGTCACAGCTTGCTGCAGCCTCAACCTCCTGGGTTCAAATGACCCTCCTACCTCGGCCTCTTGAGTAGCTCGGACTATAGGCATGGGCCACCACATCCTGCTAATTTTTGTATTTTTTGGTAGAGACAGGCTTCACCATGTTGGCCAGGCTTGTCTCAAATTCCTGTGCTCAAGCAATCCATCTAGCTCAGCCTCCCAATGTGCTGAAATTACAGGTGTGAGCCACCATGCACAGCCAATTACTAGTATTCTCTTACCTATTTAGAACAGTCAGGCATACCTCTAAGTGGATGGAATCATTTCCAGCTGAGAGCTGGACAGGCACTTTTTTTGTTGTTTGTTTTTGAGATGGACTCTCTCCCTCTGCTGCCTAGGCTAGAGTGTGGTGGTGTAATCTTGGCTCACTGCAACCTCCACCTCCTAGGTTCAAGTGATTCTCCTGCCTCAGCCTCCCGAGTAGCTAGAATTACAGGCATGTGCCACCATGCCCAGCTAATTTTTGTATTTTTAAAAGTACAGATGGGGTTTCACCATGTTGGTCAGGCTGGCCTCAAACTCCTGACCTCAAGTGATCGACTGCCTTGGCCTCCCAAAGTGCTGGGATTACAGGTGTGAGCCATCATGCCCGGCCTGGACAGGAACTTCAGTGCAGAGATGGCCCAAATGGGTGTGTGCACCTCAAGGGGTATACAAGGAGATGTGTCGTGGTGGAGGAAGAAAATTTTAGAAATTCTCTTAACATATTTAATTCAAGAAGAGATCAATTTGTATCAGTTTGATATTTAGATTGACCTCAGCAGTCTCCTTCAATCTGTATGTCAGAATGTCATATGTCACATATGTATCTGAGTTACTCCGTGGGAAAAGTGGAAGGATTTGGAGTAGTGTCCTCATGGGCTTGTTCATTTCTAGGTTACCTATTCAGTTAAAACTATTTATCTGTAAATGCACTTACCTAATGGAAGTTTCTTTCTTCTTTCTTTATTTCTTTTTTTTTTGAAACGGAGTCTCATTCTGTTGCCCAGGCTGGAGTGCAGTGGCGTGATCTTGGCTCACTGCAACCTCCGCCTCCCAGACTCAAGCAATTCTCCTGCCTCAGCCTTCTGAGTAGCTGGGATTACAGGCGCCCACCACTACACCTGGCTAATTTTTGTATTTTTAGTGGAGACGGGTTTCACCATGTTGGCAATGCTGGTCTTGAACTTGTGACCTCAGGTGATCCACCCACATTGGCCTCCCAAAGTGCTGGGATTACAGGCTTGAGCCCCTACACGTGGCCATGAATATGTTTAACATTTTATTTTATAGTTCATCTTTCTAAATTGTGTATACTTTTATTATATGCAATACATATTAGACATAATTTTTGTTTTTAGGCGGAGTTTCCCTCGTGTTGCCCAGGTTAGAGTGCTATGGCACAATTTCGACTTATGGCAACCTCTACCTCCTGGGTTCAAGCAATTCTCCTGCCTCAGCCTCCCAAGTAGCTGGAATTACATGCATGTGCCACCATGCCCAGCTATTTTTTTGTATTTTTAGTAGAGATGGGGTTTCTCCATGTTTGTTAGACTAGTCTCGAATTCCTGACCTAACTGCCTCAGGTTCGCAAAGTGCTGGAATTACAGGCGTGAGCCACTGTGCCTGGCCATACATAAGTAATTTATAAACATTTCTAAGTTGGGGAAATATGCTAATTTCGCCCCATCAGTGTGTATGGTCAGGGCAATTCAGAATCCTCCTCTACTCTAGAGTACTACTTTCAGCTCTCAAGAAAAATGTGAATATTCAGTTACCTTCCCTTTCAGGCTCTGTAAAGGGTGTGCCAAGTGTGTATGAAAAACTCAGCAACTCTCAGCAGAATTCTAGCCTTAAATATGATAGGATTTTCCATTTCCCCTTTCTGTAAATGAGTTAATTTAACGGACTGTTATTCACTGATTTATAACTTACTCTTTAGGAAAATGATTAAAAAATAATGACCTTTCATATTAACTTAAATTATCAATTATATAATAATGTATCAGACTAAAGACTGCATTATCTTAAAATGATTTGTTATTTGACATGTCGGAAAGAATTAATACTGGTTAGGCTGGGTGCGGTGGCTTACACCTGTAATGCCAGCTCTTTGGGAGGCCGAGATGGGTGGATCACTTGAGGTCGGGATGTCAAAACCAACCTGGCCAACATGGTGAAACCCTGTCTCTACTAAAAGTACAAAAATTAGCTGGGCGTGGTGACGCACACCTACAGTCTAAGCTACCAGGGAGGCTGAGGCAAGAAAATTGCTTGAGCCCTGGCAGCCAAAGTTGCAGTGAGCTAAGATCATGCCACTGCACTCCAGCCTGGGCCACATAGCGAGACTCCATCTCAAAAAGAATATTCATTAACAACAAAAAAAATTTTAAACTAAAAGTTATACACTACAGAAAATTTAAGGCTGCCATGGTGGCTCACATCTATAATCCCAGCACTTTGGGAGGCTGAGGCAGATGGATCATTTGAGGTCAAGAGTTTGAGACCAGCCTGGCCAATATGGTGAAAACCTGTCTCTACTAAAAATACAAAAAAAAAAAAAATAGATTAGCCAGGCAGTAGTGGCACATGCCTGTAATCCCAGCTACTCGGGAGGCTGAGGCAGGAGAATTGTTTGAGCCTGGGAGGCAGAGGTTGCAGTGAGCTGAGATTGCATAACTGCATTCCAGTCTGTGCGACAGAGTGAGACCCTGTCTCAAACAAAAAAAAAGAGAAGAAACTTCAGTACTTGTAAAGAGTACTTTGTAAAGAGAAAGAGATAGAGACACCACACTGTAAGTTACATATGTAGCAGACACCAGGGATGCTGGATGAAACCAGAATAATAATAGAAGTACATGATTACAAATCTTATAATATTTATCCCATTTATTTATCTTACCTGCAAAAGAAACATGGGGATCATAAAATACTTTTCGTCGGGGTCATTGTGAGACTCTGGTAGAAAAGAAATGCATGTGAAAATTAGTTCAGACATTCATTTAATATATACTATACAAAGTTAATATGGTAGTTACCTTATCACTTGCTTCAAATATATAGTTTTCTACTTTTTTTTAAAAAAGGTAATCAGTTATTTAAGTAGATTATTAGAACATTTTAAACAGCGATTTGTGAGGATAAATTCCATTTGTCAGGGCAAACACAGATCGCAGGTAGCTGTGGAGCTGAGGAATAGCTTTGATTTTTGGTAAAATTTGTGAGTCCACAGCTTTCTGATCAATCTTGCGCTGCTCTGTAATCTTGTGTTTCTCTTTTTCTGTGTCGAAGATCTCACCTTCCTGGTGTCTGGGCTTCCACAACTTCTTGTTCTTGAAGTAAGCATCAGTAAGATGTTTTGGGATTTTTACGTTGCTGATACCAATTTTGGTTGAGGCGGCAATGACAAATTTCTGGTGCGTTCTTCGCAGAGAAACTCGATTGAGGACCAGAGGTCCAGTCACAAGTAACAGGCTACTGGCCAGCTGCTTCAGGAAAACCACCCTCTTGCCCTGTGGCGTCCAGTGAGGATGATCAGAATGGTCCCGGGGTGATGCTGGCTCGCAGTTTGCTCACGTGCTGACTAAAGGGTTTTTTGCCTTGGCTCAGCAGCTTTCGAGGCACATCTTCGGTAGGATAATACCTAGGCATTTTGCGAAGTTTAACCACTCGGGTACCGCCGTTTTTGTCACCACCACGTTTTGTAACAGCTGCAAGAACCTTCTCCTTTTTCTTTTCAACCTTGGATTTAGCCTCTGAGCACTTCCTCTCGTACACGGCCTTTCTGGAATACGTGGCAGATCGGGAACACCTGCCGATTCCTCTGACAAGGACAGGATTGCGGCTGCAATGGGGCTTCCCCTTCTTGGGCTTTTTGGCCTTGAGGTTACCCTTTTTCACTTTGCTACCCTCATCAGCCTTCTTGGCTTCAGGTTTCTTCTCTTTAGTATCTGACTTCTCAACTTTTTCACCCGCCATCTTGCAAGATGGGAAGGAGTAGTTTTCTACTTTTAACCACAAGATGCTGTATTATTTCCTTCAAGGCTTAGCTTAAAAAAAAAAAAAAAAAAAAAAAAGCTGTATTATTAATATCATTAATTTTTTATGTAGACTACTCAGTTATTTATGGATTTTCTAAGAATGAAAGTGAAATAGACATTTTCA